TTGGGTTGGTCTCAGCCAAGTAGTTGTATTGTTCTGGGCTGAGCTCAGCTCTCTCACTTGGTACTTGCTACTGCCCCCGCAGTTGACTGAGTGTTGGCTGAGATGCCCTGCAGACTGGACCTGGCTTTTAATGGGGAGGCAGGGTTCTAAGACCTTTGCAAAAGCCACCTCTAGCATGTAAGCATTGCTTGTGTTTCCTGTGTCGCATTTGCTGCTGTCTCGTTCCAAAGCCAGTCACATGGCCAGGGCCAGAGCTGTTGTTGGAGGTCCTGTTAAGTGACGTATAAGACGGGGTAGGGGAAGGGGAAGGGGTAGGGGACAACGTTACTGTAATTGATCCACCATGATGCTGTTTGGCTGCTTTAACTGGAATACCTGACTGGAGTAACTTAGGAGAGGTAAAGATTTACTTGGGTTTATGTTTTAGAGATTCCACAGTCCCAAGACTGGGCATCCCTGTTAATCTGGCATCTGGTGGAGGCTGGCAGTGGTGCAGCAGGTGCAAGGGAGAAGGTAGCTGGAGAGCTCCCGGGTTCTTCTTTGATGAGATGTCTGGGAATGTTTAGAAACCTTGAGGGAGGGGAGGTGATGGCTGCTTTGCCAGGCAAAAGGTGAGTAAGCTCTGATTTTCTGCTCTTACCAAAGTGGACCAGTGGACACAAGCACCTGTAATAAGGTAGTCAATATCACTTCCTTAATTAGCCTGAAGTTTGTCATCAACTAACAGACCCGGCATTAGGAGGTAAGTCTTCTAGCCCGTAGATTGTCTCTTCTTGGGCACCAAGTGTCATCCAGCACCTGTTTTTCTTCCCTTCTACCTTTCATCCTAGTTCCATCCTATTACATACACAGTGCAGAGTCAAAAGGGTTTTATGGTGAGTCTTCACTTGGATCCTACTCCTGCTGTTGCCAGGTTTTCTGTCAGACATCTCTCCTGTCCATTGGTTCGTCTTGTCCAACATGAGTGCCACAGCTGAGAATCTGCTTATTCCTGGACAGTGCACACGTGAACAGAGGAAAAGCTCTAGTTATTTCCACATGATAGTCGGTGTTGAGGAACAGGCGAAATGACCAGGAAGAGAAGGTCTTTAGATGAAACTCAGGGGATTGAGGGCTTCAGTGGGCTTGCTGCTAGATGGCTCTCTGGCACCTCTGCTGCCCAGGGTTGAGGCTCAGTCTCGTTCTCTCAGGCAGCCCCCGGCGAGGGCCAGGGCAGTGTGTAGAGAGGCTCTGCTTCGGGTTAGGTTAGGACAGACTGCTGTTAGGTTCTCTGGCTGCTGATGGTTGAGTTTTATTCTATTTAGTTTGTTACTTCCCCTGTCCCAGTGAATACCCCAGCGGCACACTCTCACTTATTAATTTTTCAAGGCCTTGAGTTGTGATGTTTAGTATCAGCCTTTCACATTCATACTGGTTACAGCGTTTCATTGTGACCTGACAGATAGGAACACTTGAAACAGTGTGTGTGCTGAGGGTGCCTCAGGTTGCACCTAGGGAAGTCCTTCATGAGTGAGTAGCTGGGTCTCCTTCAGCTTGTTCCAGTGCCAAGCTTATCAGGTAAGTATCCATGTTTATATAGTATCATGGAGAGCAGAAGCAATTTCAAAAAAGGTATATAGTTTGGGCTTTTTGTGTTTTACTTTGTAGTCAGGTTCCTCTGAGACTTGTCCTCCATTAGGGTGAATCTCAAGTCTGTGTGTTGGCGTCCTCTGCTACAACTCCCCTGCAGGCCTCGGTCCTGCCCACACAGGCAAGGTGTGTGAGCTCCTTATGCTGAGTCCCCTGCATAGTTATGTTGTCCCTCCTCTCCCATGCTCAGTACTCCTCTCCCATGCTCACTGCCCTCCTCTCCCATGCTCCATGGTCCCTGGTGACTCTTGGACTGCCTTTCATACCTGTGCTCATAGTATCAACTACATCTGTCATGTGGGTGCAGGAACCCAGGTACTTAGGGCATCCTCTGTTGTCTTCCAAGGCACATTAGCAAAAAACTGAATCAGAAACCAAGCAGCTGGCACATGAACCATCACTCCAGAATAGCTTGCAAGCAGCAGCTGAACTTGCTCCACTGCATCCCACTCACATAAGTTTTTTTTTTACATGATTTATTTTTATTTGAAATGCAAATTTACAGAGAAGGAGAGACAGAGATCTTGAATCCGCAGTTCACTCTTCAGATGGCTACAATGGGCAGAGCTGGGCCGGGCTGAGCCAGAAGACTGAAGCTTCTTTTGGGTCTCCCACATGGGTGCAGGGACCCAAGGTCCTAAACCATCCTCTGCCACATCTGGAACTATAACTGGTGCCCATATGGGATGTCAGCACCACCGGCCTCCTCTCAGCCCTGGATATCACATGTGTTAGTGGGTACAGTGGCTGTGCTTGGCATGGTCTGCCTTCAGTGCCAGCCCTGGCATGTGCTGGTGAGTGCTGCAGTCTGGTCCACCCCAGCTTCTACCTAGCCCCAGCTCCCGTGAGTGTCAGGTGGGTTCCTATAAGATGAGTTCTGTGGTTCAGCCTGACTCAGCCCATCACCATCCTTAGCTTTCCGTGCAAACCTGCAGGTGCTACAGTCCCACAGAAGCAAGCGCACAAGTCCCCTACAGAATCTGCCCCCAGATCTGGTTCTCTTTCTGTTGGGTGCTGCAACCCAGCCTGACTTGGTCCACCCCCTGCTCTGACACTGATGGGTTGGTACTACTGCCTAGCCCAGCCAGGCATGCCCCCCGACCCCAGCTTTTGCGTGTGCCAGTGGGCATCAAGCGATGCCAGTAGCCCAGCCCAGGTCTTCCATGTGGGCAAGTGCCTTGGCCTGACCCAGACATGATCTCCGGTTTTCTGTGTCTAAACCACTCCATCTCAGCTCCCTTTCCTACCTGCTAGTGCAGTGGCCTGCTCCATGGAAGACCCTGGAAAGCATTCCTTCCCTGTCAGACATACCCTCAGCTGCTCCTAATCCAACATGTCTTAGACCTCCTTCCCTGGGTAATTTGGAGGCCAGGGTGATGTGTCCTGGCTTTGGAATTCCTGCCTTCCTCACTTATCTTTAATGAAAAGGAGGAAGAAAAAAAAAGCAACTGTGCTGAAATACTAGTACAGTTAACAAAAATTTAATATTAACTAGGCCCAGAATGTCCTCCAGCTACTGGTTGCTTTTCTCCCAGCAGTATAACACTTGCCTAGGTACAGGGCAACCTAGGCAGTTGCCTACAGCTGATGGCAAATGATTTCTTTTTTTTTTTTAAGATGTATTTTTTTTTATTACAAACTCAGATATACAGAGAGGAGGCAAGAGGAAGATCTTCCATCCGATGATTCACTCCCTAAGTGCTTCCATCCGATGATTCACTCCCTAAGTGAGCGCACTGGCTGGTGCTGTGCTGATCTGGAGCGCCGGGATTAGAACCGGCGCCGATATGGGATCCCAGCACTTTCAAGGCAAGGACTATTTAGCCACTAGGCCACCACGCCAGGCCCAAATGATTTCTTGAGTCCAGTGATTGGAACCATGTAGGGCCAGCTGTATTGCTCCATGAATTCAGTGAATGCCTTTTGATAATGTCCAGTCCTCAAGGACGGACAAGGGCACCTGGGCCCAAGGCAGGCAGACCAGAAGCTGGGTCCTACCTATGCATTACACAGGGTTAGGTGTTCCTGTGGCAGCAATACAGTGTAGCTCAATAGCTGCTGTGCATTGGGTCCGGAAGGTAATACTTTAGCAACTACTGGCTGGGTTGTTATAGTGTCTCTTACTTTGAATGAAAAACAGTATTATGGGAGGGAAAGAAATCTGCCAGTTTGTAAATAGAAGTTCTGGGTAAGATACACAAAGGGAACCAGTGTCTTTGCAAGGGTTGTCTCTGTCAATTATTGCAGCATCCCAGTTGTCCCTGTTTATATAATGCATTATCCCAGAACTGATACCTGCTGGTGTGGATGTGGAACTGGGAGACGGGCACGGAGCCCATCTGGATCACACAGTTGCTTGTCTCCCCAGTGAGCTGGTTTCTAAAGGAATGGCTCTGGAACTAGGAAATCATCAAGTGTGTGTGTATACTTTACCTGCGTACCATCACGCGGAGTAGAATACATAATGGTTACGAAAGGGCATTAATGAGGGAACAATATATAAAAAGAACCTAAGGATCATGGCTGCGCTGTTATTGTAACAGGCTAATCCTCTGCCTGCAGTGCCAGCATCCTATATGAGTACAGGTTTGAGTTCTGGCTGCTCCATTTCTGATCCAGCTCCCTGCTAAAGACCTGGGAAAGTCATTGGGCCCCTGCACCCAGATGGGAGACCAGGAAGAAGCTCCTGGATCCTGGCTTCGGATCTGCTCAGCTGCAACTGTGATGGCCATTTGGGGAGTGAAACTAGCAGATGAAAGATCTATGTCTATCTCTATAACTGGTTCAAGTTAAACAAATGTTTTTGTTTTCTTTTAATAAAGAACCTAGGGATCAAGTGGAAAAAGTGTGGGATCTATATTTAATGTTTGTTTAGTAGTGAATATCAAGCAGGTACTATGATTTCAAGGGTACGATAAGATTGTGCTTGAAAAATAAATATTGGGCCCAATGCAATAGCCTAGGGGCTAATTCCTTGTTTTGCATACCCAGGATCCCATTGGGTGCCTGTTCTTGTCCTGGCTGCTCCATTTCCTATCCAGTTCCCTGCTTGTGGCCTGGGAAAGCAGCAGAGGACCCTGCACCCACATGGGAGACCCAGAGGAAGCTCCTGGCTTCGGATTGGCCCAGTTTTAGCCATCACAGCCACAGGGAATGAATCCACAGACGGAAGATCTTCCTTTCTGTCTTTCCTCTTCTCTGTATATCTGACTTTCCAATGGAAATAAATATTTAAAAAATAAAACACAATGAATTTCATGCCCTCCTACAAATGCTCGTGTTTCTTACTTTTATTAATCTTTGTTCCAGTTGATTCCATTGTTGTGACTGTCCGTGCTTCCCTGAAAGCTTTGTGTTACCGTTTCCTTCAGGGGCGAGTCCGGCGCTGGCAAGACGGAGAACACCAAGAAGGTCATTCAGTACCTTGCCCACGTTGCCTCTTCACATAAGGGAAGGAAGGACCATAACATTCCTGTAAGTTCTCGCTCCAGGTGGATAGGTCATTCTCGGTTTCTGTTCTTTATTTTGGAAACAGCAAATACCAGAAGGCAGGTCTGCTCCTGGCCCTGTCCTGACACCTGTCTTGTCCCCACCACATCTCTCCTTGCACTGAAGGAGCTAGGATAATGAAGAAACTGCTTCTGAGTAAGCTTCTTAGCTGGAATTGTGGCTGAGACCCAAAGCTTAATTTTAATTTCTTGCAAAGATTTGGTGTGAGCTGTGAAGCCTGATGGGTAGTGTTTGCCAGGGCTTACTACTGGGCGCCCAGAAGCAGAGAAGATCCTCAGATACCACCAGCGGTTTCTGGTAAACATGCTGGTGCGCCTTGCCGCTGCCCCCCGACCTGCAGCAGGAGGGGAGGGGAGAGGTGGCAGACCTGATGGGAGAACGAGGCTAGGGCTAGCAGTGGCAGGTGCCTGGCCGGACAGAGAAGCCCAGGCGTACCTAAGAAGCCTGTGAGTGTCAGCCAGGCCAGCTCCCGCAGTTCCAGACTGCATGGCGGCCCGGTGCTTTGGATGTGGCTTAGAGCTGGGCAGACCCAGACTTGCTAACATTTGCGTTTATCTGTTTGCAATGAGCAGCAGGAATCGCCCAAACCCGTGAAACACCAGGCAAGTGCTTTTCTTTGTGCTTCTTAGTCGTGTTTGCGCTCATTTCTGTCTTGAGATCAAATCTCTGCTAGAAACAAGTATTAGTAATTCCACGTGAACTCTGTTATTAAAATAAAAATTAATATAGAAAAACTGCTTAGAGCCTTATTCTTTTACAAGAAGCAGCATGCCGCTTTGCTTTTTATCTTTTTTTTCTTGCTTTTATTTTATCGTGGCATTGAATTGCATGTTTATGAAACCTGTAAGCTTACAGTTTCATCTCTCAAATACCAGGTGGAATCATTTTCCTAGTTCTTAAAAAGCAAGGTGACACTTAGCCTCATGTCATACATTAAATATTGAATTTGGGACTGCAACTTTGGGAGTTGTATTCTGAGTTAGCAAAATTCCAATCGGTTTGAAATTTTACAGCATTACTCAGTTCATACCTTCATGTGTTTTATGCTAAAAACTTCTTGATGTTTAATAGAGTTTTCTTCACATTGGGCAGGTAGAAGAAGAGTGTTATTCCTCATAATTATCGTGTGGCTGCCACTTAGGCCCACATGACAGGGTGGTGAAGAGACCAGCAGTAAACCCCATTTCCTGTTGCCTGAGCGGAGAGGAAGGCCAGGGCTGAGGCCGATTCCTTAGACAGAGCGTGGTGTCTGTGGCCCTCATTCTTCCCCTAGCATCAGGAAGGATTTGGTTGGGTTTCTGCAAATGTAATGGAGTAAGGCTAGTAATGCAGCAAGAATGAGCTGTGACATGACATGTTGATGTAGAGAAACAATCCTAAGTGTCTAAAACAATTGTCATAGCTACTGAGATTTTCAAAATATTTTTAAATTCTTAAGAAATTGGCAAACCCCCAAGCTGTACCATCCCTTTGAAAGACCCGTGAAGGTTTTTTGTCTGCTAAATGCAGTCAGACCAGTGATGAGGTCATTTTTATCATATCTGTAGGATATTTCAAGGTAAAAAAGAAGGAATGTCTGTGCTGGAAGCTAGCCTTAGAAACAAATGTGGAGTGACCTTTTCATCTGTATTTGGCTCACAAGTAGAATTGTGCTAAAGCCATGTACAGATTTAGGTTTCCACAGAGGCCGTTGTCTTGTGTCCCTCTAAACCACACAGTTTAGCGTGGCTGCCCCTTGGCACGGCTTGGGCCCCTCAGGTTCTCCCAGAGAAGGCAGCCACCTGTTTGGTCGGTGCTTTGCTGTGCTTGCTGGTTTGCATGTCACTGCATGTGTTTCTCACCGCGCAGACCTGTCACCGCCACCTTCCCCACGGTGCTGATGATAGTTGTCGCATCAAGCAAAGTAGCTCTGCTGACATTTCCGGAAACACTAGCAATCTCAGGTTTTCTTTTCAAGCAGGAGAAAGGGATGTGAGACACTCTGGCATGGTAGTAGGGAGTGGGCACAGGCTGGGCAGTGTCCTGGTAGCAAACCGCATCTCCCTGTGCAGAGGTGTCCCCATCTGTGACTTCTTCCCCCTGAAAGCAATAGTTGCAGTGTGGGCAGTGTGTCTAAGCCACCCTTCTGTGCCTCATATGTGGATGCTCAAGTCGCTTCCAGTAAAGCAGCATAGTACCTGCATGCCCCCGTAGTCAGCTCTGGGTCACGTTACCCAGTGCAGTGTAAATAGTCATTACCCTGGGTTTTTTAAGGTAGCGGCAAGGGGCAAAGTTTGTACAGGCACAGATTGAACCTACAGTGGACTCCATAGATAAGGGGGAACAACAGCATGTTACAAAGTCACTCTGATTAGTTTCACAAAGCTGGTTTGCAAGTTTGCTGTTGAGCTTCACAGGCAAAGAATTCTCAGGCTCCCAGGAACCAGGTGTCATGTCTGCATTTTCCTGTTGGACAGCAGCAAGACTGACAAAAGCATAGAAGAGACACTTCCAGGCTCTTGATTCTGTCAATCAATTTATTGTTTAAAAAAACAGCCTTATGGAAATATTCACATACTATGTAATTTACTCACTTGAGTAGAAAAGTCAGCATGTTTTGAAAGTATTTTCACAGTTAACACAGTTCACTTGTCCTCACAATGACTTGTGGGATATTTTCATCACCACAGAAGAAACTGCATACCGATTAGCAGTCACTCTGAATTTCCCCTCCAGCTCCTGGCCACGACTATCTACCTTCTGTCTATATTTGTCTGTTCTAAACATTTTAGACGATTGCAAATGTAATCATGTAACGTCATCCTTTCTGACTGTCCTTCCACTTAGCATGATGTTTTCAGGGTTTCTCCACATAGGAGCATGTGCAAGCACCCCACTCCTGTTTACGGCCAAACAGTATTCCAGGAGATGAAGTGCTCCCATTTCACTCACTTGTTCATCAGCAGAGAATGTGAGGCTGTGGTTTGCTCTTCCTAGCAGTCACGGTTAATGCTGCCTTGGCTTCTGTGTGGGCCAGTGCTTTCAGCCCTGGTAGGTGTAGACCTGGAGGTGGGATTACAGGGCCACAGGGTAACCCTGTTTGGCACTCGGAGGGCTGCCGCCCTGGCTTCTAGAGAGCTGGCACTGTTTGGTGTTCCAGCCAGCAGCATTTGGGGGTTCTAGTTTTCACACCTCCTTGTCAGCACTTGGTCTTATCTGCCTGTTCATTGTAGGTGCCCCAGAGGTGTGGAATGTGGTCCCTTTTAAAACTTAATATTCATTTTGAAAATATGAGTAAGTAGTAAAGTCAGTTTTAAAATTAAGATTACAACCCAAAAGACATATACCTTAAATGTATTTGCCTGTAACCTTTTTGTGTTAAATTACAGCAAACATCTTGTGTGGCTTTAGCTGCCTAGCCATCTGCAAGTACGGTTTCCGTGCTGTTTGTGCGTGATGGGTCACCTGTGACTTTTAGCCAACACCAACACTGGACAATAGAGTCATACACACGTGCACACAAGAGGAAAGAAAAGAACCGATGATTAACTATGTAAAGATTGCCAAAATATAATTTAAAAAAATGTAAAGTAAAAAAACAAAAACAATGAAAAGTGGACCCAAAGAATCCTTATGGGCATGTCCAGGGAATATTAAAATAATGATTGGCATTGCTTGCTCTACCTGCAAGCTAGAAAAACAATCTAAACCAAGACTGTGGAGGCCAATTTATTATGATTTCCCAGACATCGAGAAGTTTTGAAGAGTGTTAAGGAGAATGCGTTCTGATACCTTGCTCTAACATAGGTGTTCATGTGGAGGTGTGGCCCAGCTTCTCACAAGTGTCTGTGGGTTTCTGACACAGTCTCAACCAAGGCATTTAGAAAGCTGATCTGACGTGAATGGTCGGCTCACTGGCAGCCGTGCTGGTGACCCCAGAGGCAGGGCACTCTAGGCCACCCCGGGGCAGAGCTGACAGTGTTCCGTGAGGACGCTTGGGACGAGTTCAGGATGTCATGTTTGAGAATGCCAACAGTGTGTAATGTTCTAGAAAGACTGACACCACAGATAGCCTTGAAGTTGGTGAAGGGGAACATTGCCCAAGGAGGGAACGCTCTAACACCAGCAAAGCAGAGTGGTCCTGTGTAGCAGAAGTCAGGTCAGGGTTCTCCACAGGACCGGTCCCCGGCTGCCCCTGTTGAGCACAATTTCATTTCAGTGTTGTTTTTAACGACTTTTTGTTTGAAAGACAGAGAGAGGGAGAGAAAGGTCCCATCAACTGGTTTGCTAAGTGCCATACCAGCCAGGCTGGGCCAGGTAAAAGTCAGGAGCCAGAAGCCCAGCCTGAGTCTCCCACGTGGGTGGCAGGGACCCACAGTACTTGAGCCATCCCCTGCTATCTCCTGTGGTGTGCATTATCAGGGATCAGGAGAGGAATCGAGCCACACACCCAGACACCCTGATTTGGGGTATAGGTGTCCTGGTGGTGGCTCAAGTACTAAGACAGGTACCCACTAATAAACATGATTTTAGGTTGCAGGTAAGCCCTGTGGAAGTCTGGGCTACCCAGACATGTGCTGTGAAGCCCATCCCCTGATGTGTGACATGCCCAGCCTCTCAGAGGAGCAGTGGGACCCAGGGCAGGGCACAACGCTGCACGGGATGCATGTTTGGCCTTTGTGTGGAGATGTGGTGGTGGTCAAATGCATCACATGGCAAATGGCTGCCTTTAACATTCTTCTGTGGCGTTCTTCATAGTCATCTTTGTTTAGCTTAGAGAATCCCATTTACTAAAGAATCATCTTATTCTGCTTGGGGAATCAGATTTGTTCTTGTTTTCTTTAGGTCTAGAGTACTGTGGGTCTTTTAAAATATAGGGGTAGGATTTGGGTTTGGAAAAAGATTTATTTGAGTCATAAAATGTAGTTCTGAAATTACATTCCAGAAACAGTACCCGTTTCTAGGGCTTTCTGTGGCCAGAAAAGGCATTAGGCATGCTCCTGCAACTTTGTTACTACTCTAGGATTAAAGCACATCTGAGTCGACTCCTGCTGCTGAGCTCCGTTTTATAGCCTTAATTGTGGAAGAATAAAGACGCCACCTCTGCTGCTAGCACACACCACAGCAGGTGCTCTCCACTTAGCCTTCTGACCCCAAGCCCATCAGCAGCCTTACCATCTTCCTTGTCCTCTGAAAGAGGAGGTGGTGGTGCTCCCCTATCTGCCTCTCTGAGATTTATGCGAAAACCCCTTGGGAACATAGAACATCCTCTGCAAATAGAGTGGTCATTTATTTATTTATTTTTCTTTCTTTCTTATTTTTTTATTGATTACATTGCATTCTGTGACACTGTCTCATAGGCTCTGGGATTCCCCCAGCTCCTCCCCATACCCTTCCCCCCATGCTGGATTCCTCCACCTTGTTGCACTATTACAGTTCCAGTTAAGATTCTTGCACTGCAAGTATAGAGTCCAGCATCTTATTATCCAGATAAATTCAACGGTTTCTTGGGGAGACCATAGAGTGGTCATTTAAAGGCTAGCTGCTGTCAGTCTTCCAAACACAGGAGAAAAAATGTCCCCAGTATATTAGTATTATTTTGATTTATTATTTTTTATTGGAAAAGCAGAATTAGAGAAGGAGAGACAGGGGAAGATCTTCCATCCATTGGTTCACTCCTGAAGTAACCACAGTGTCTAGAGCTGAGCCAATCCAAAGCCAGGAGCCTGGAGCCTGTTCTGGGTCTCCCATGTGGGTGCAGAGTCCCAAAGCTTTGGGCCAACCTCTACTGCTCCCCAAGACGACAAGCAGGGGGCTGGATGACAAGTAGAGCAGCCAGAACATAAACTGGCGCCCATATGGAATCCCAGCGCTTGTAAAGCAAGGATTTAGCCACTGAGCCATCATGCTGGGCCTAGTATGTTCCTAACTGAAGTTGTTCAGTTGAATTTCATTTCATAAAACCCAGTTTATTTTATTTTCAAAGTTCTCTGCCTAATTTATTTCTTTAAAAATTTAAAAAATGTTTTCATTTTTATTTGGAAGGCAGAGAGGCAGAGATCTTTCTTCCATGCTCTGGTCCACTCTCCAGATATTCCCAGTAGCCAAGCCAAACATGCACCACAGCCGACATCTCCCACCTGAGTGGCTTGTTCCCAAGGACTTGCCCCATCATCTGTGAATTAGCAGGAAACTGGATTAGAAATAAACTTGCCAGACCAGGCACCCTGAAGTGGGATGCTAACACCCCGTCGTAACCACTCCACCATGCAACTGCCTTAAACTCTGCCCACATCTAGTGCCCTTTGCCTAAGTTTATCTTCTCTGCTCAATATGACCTTTTCTGTTCCTTGTGATCCCTTTAGAGATGGAAATTTTTTCTTTAGCAGAGCTTACGTTCATAGCCAAGAGTAAGAAGCCAGCACAGGTTGCTGGGTGACAAAGCAGCAGAGTTTTAAAAAAAAAAAAAACTATCAAGAAAGGTGGGTGGTCATTTGGGTTTTTCTGTTTTGTTTGTTTTTGTTTTTTTCTCCCTTTGGACTAGAATGAAGACATTGGATTAACATGTATCTGTCTTTGTGTGTGTGTGTATGTGTTTAATTTTTTTTTCCAGGGAGAACTTGAACGGCAGCTTTTGCAAGCAAATCCAATTCTGGAATCATTTGGAAATGCGAAGACTGTGAAAAATGATAACTCATCTCGTTTTGTAAGTTGGAAACATCGGAACCTTTTAATTTCTCAAATTTCTAGTTAAATGTCTACTATGATGAAGCAAATCAAGTACTTTTCTCCTTAGATTTAAAAATAGTATTGTGCTGTGGAAATATGATTATATCACATGTAATTTGAAGTTTTCTAGTAGCTACATGTTTGGGGGGAAAAAAAAACATGCAGAAGTATTTTTAATGATGTTTTGTTGTTTAGACCTGTGTGGATGTGTATATAATATGTGTATACATGATGACATAACCTCACTGAGCCTGCCTCTTTAACTTTGGGGGTGTTGGTGTGGTGTGGGGGTTAGATGCCATGTATGCCGGGTACTTAGCACAGCACTGGGAGTGGAACATGTTCGTCAAGCAGCGTTGTTCTGAGCTGTGAGAACTGTTACTGTGTGTCTCGTGATGTCACTGGACCGGAGACTCATTTGTCATCACCACCGCATACATTCCTGGCAGCTCCCCTCTCAACCCATGTTCCCCAATAGTCATTGCTTCATTAGGCCTCACCCGGCCTTGTAGCCACGAGGTCCTGTAATACTTTCTGGCATCAGGTTTCCTGTCATTTCAGTCTGATGATTCCCCTGTGGGCAACATTCAGGGCACTGCTGCCCTTTCAGCGTTCCTTTTGAAACTGGGATCAGGAAATACAGGCAGGGTCTATGTGTGAGCTCTCTGTGGTGACAGGCAGAGGAGGGAGCAAGGTCAGCCTACCATGGGGCTCACACAGCAGCTGTCCAGTCTCCAGCCTTCTTTGAAGCTTGAAAAGAGCCAGAATTGGGGCAGGGCTGGTTCCTCGGCATCCCTTTTCCCTCGCTGGTAACGGGTGGCTGCCTGCACCTCCTGTCTATCCATGGTCTTCCCTCTGTGCTTGTCTGTCTCAGGTTCTTTGTCCTAAAGACACCATTCATAGGGGTTGAGGCTGCCATGAGGATGCCCCACTGAAAGCTTCTCCAACTATGGCCCCGTGCTGACGTCCCCAGCGAGAGTGGGACATGGTATGCAGTTGGCCCTGTCACCTGCTCAGAGCAGAGTCCTCCAACGGCACCCGAGAACCAGGGGTCTGTGTGTGTGGCAACCAAGTGAGATGGAACTGAAGGCTCACATGAGCCATGATTTAGTGACCGAGTTGAGCTATTTGTGTGCAAGGTGCAGTTGATGACCGGCATCCCTGTCAGGAGGAAGTGTGCCCATGATGCTTGGGTTCATAAAGGCTGGGGCAGACTGAGGCCTCCCTCCACACATGCCTCAGCAGACTTTTGGTCTGTTTCACTGGCCCACGCCCCGGTACAACCTTGTGTCCTGCCACTAAACAGCCCTGTGTTGAGTGGCTGTGTGTTGGCCAGGAGGCAGCAGTGTGCCCAGCTTTGGTGTGTGATTCCCCATGGAGATGCCCAAGGATGTCTTTGCGGAAAATCCTTTCTCCTACCGCATGAATTATGCTGTCAGCTTGTTCTGCTCCTCCCTACCCTTCACCCAGACCATACTTCAGAATTCAGGAGAGCCACTGTCAAGCCTCTTGTCTGAAGTTTGCCCAGACAAGAGGAGTCACTGCTGAAGCTGTTGCTGTGTTCTTTGGTGAATGGTGGAATGATTCTGTTACTCCCTACTAGGGCTTTATCTGCCTGCCAATGTGTTTTCACTTGTTATTCTATGTGTCAGGGCTGTTGAAGTTCTGGAATAGTTGTCTATTGCCAGGTAACCAATGACCCTGAAGTCTAGTGCTTGAAACCTTTATTTAGTCGCCTTTTCTGCACAGCAGGAATTGAGTAGCTGCCCAGCTCAGAGTGTCTGGCTTGGGGTCTCTCTGAGCCTGCCATTGGGCTGCTGGCCGGAGCTGCAGGCTGGTGGGGGCTGGAGGGCTTCCTCCAAGCATACTCAGAGACTTCCTGGGAAAGACCCGTTCTCTTGGCTATTCTTCCCAACTGCTTGGGTTGTTTGAGTAGCCTTGTGACAGACATGGCAGCCGCCTTTCCCCAGAGTGAGTGACCCAAGCATGAAGCCACACAGTCTGTGACTCTGCCCTGGAAGTCACTTGCCATCTCCCTTTTGTGTTCTGTTGCAAGTTGGCCTCTGTGAATCTTCCAAGGGACCTCAGGTCATCATTAGCCACGGTGGAGTTTTAATCCACCATTGCTCTTGATTAATTGGGTCTAGATGTTGGGAACTGCCTATAGGATGTTGAAGTATCAGGAGACATTTTTGTTTGTAAGCTTGGGAGCTGGGTGGGGGATGCTGTGTGAGCTCTGAAGGACTGAGGCCAGGGGTGCTGGTGAAGGTCCTGACACACGTAGGAGACTCCCCACGACAGTCATCCCATCCAGAATGCCAGTTAGGCCAGGGAATCACTTTCTGAAATTTACTGACAAAGTAATATATGAATTTCCACAGTGCTTGTCATGGACAACTCCTCTTCCCTAAGTCAAAATCAATAATTCTGGCAGGATCCTGTTTTGCATTCTGCTGGTAGGAAGAGTGTCTTAGAATGTTTCCTAGCCACCTGGAAGCATCTCAGGAAAGTTGCAAGAGGCAGCTGTCAAATCTGACCCAGTTTCAGCAGATACCACCTTCCACAGCGCTTATAGTACTAGGTAGCAACCTCTAAGAGGGCTCAGGTTACTGTCAACTGATCTTTTTGTATAGGAAAGAGCTTTAAAAATATTATATTACGTTATGTTATATTATATTATATTATATTATATTATATTATATTATATTATATTATATTATATTATATTGTATTATTTGCAAAGCAGATTTAGAGAGAGATCTTCCATCCACCGGTTTATTCCCCATCAGTGACATCAACCAGGGCTGGGCCAAGCCAGAAGCTGGGAGCCTGGAATTCCATGTAGGTTTTCCACATGGGTGGCAGGGATCTAAGCACTTGGGCCATATCCTGCTGCTTTCCCAGGTACATTACCAGGGAGCTGGATCAGAAGTGGAGTAACCGGGACTCAAACTGGCACCAGTATGTGATGTCGGCGCCCTCTTCTTAGCCAAGCTCCTGGCCCTGCAAGGCTCTGCTTGGCTTTATCTTCCTCTGTTATCAAGGCTGAAGCATGAGGTACAAATGAACTCTGAGAAAGGATTGCATGAGCAGTTGTAGGAATAGGAGTGCTGGGTAAGAGGGACAAGGAGGTGGCTGCAGGAAAGGCCAGGCCTTGGGCTGAGATTGGTGTCAGATGCTCAGAGTAAGATGGAGAAGTGATCTGTGTGTACGGTGAACTTTTTCATAGTCATTATTTACAGACCACAGGTTTGCAGGGCAAATATTTGAAGCTCTAAACTCCATCAGCTTTAGAGTCCATTTGGTTCCAGTGCTTTGATCTGATGGAGACGACTAATTTCCTGGAGAGTATTGTTTCTTTCAAAGATCCTAGCATGTGGTTTAAATCAAAAGGGATTCTTTAGGAGAGCATTACCCTTATGAAAATAATCGTTCACAGTTCGTCCAGTTCTGTTTATGGAGAAGAAAAATGCATTCCAGATGGAGGCGATTTATGTAAAATGGATCTCATAATGAAACTTTGAAAGCAGGGACTTCAGTTACAAAAGTGATCTTCTCAATCAGCAGATACCTCTTCCTTCTAGTTTCCGTAAGAATTGCCTTTTGGATTTGCAGAGATCCTCTTTTTCATCTTCTCAAAGGGACCTAAGCTCATTTCGTGCTCTGCATCTGTAGGGTATGTTCTAGAAGCTACATCACAGCTAGGAAAGGCTCTGGTTCAGCCTCCTTGCAAACTAGCTACCTGTTTGCATTGAAAGACGTTGGAAGCCTGCACCCTCATGCCTGCTTGTTAGCAGGCGAACACTAAAGAAACTGTAATGTCACTTAAAAGCAACCCGTCCCTGTTGGTTGAAGTGCTCTGACCACAGTCTTCCCTGACGATGGAGCCAAGATTGGTGGTGTCACACAGAACACACGCTGCCCCGCCTGCTCCAGCCATGCAACCCTGCAGCGTCGGGTCTCTGGCAGCATTCCCATGCGTCCAGCCCTGGGGCTCCCTGGAGTCCAATTGTTCATCTCAAGGCATTCAGGGCCTGTGGATTTCTAATCGACCCACATCTTTTTAATACCATTTATGGCAACTCCAGTAATTTCCACTATGCATCATTCTAAGTAACCAGGCCATTTAGCTCACATGAAAACTCATTTTACTAATAAGGGAGCTTCTGGTGTCATTTGGAGATTAAGAGAGCTGAAGCATTTACAATAGCCATCTGGCCTTTGGATTAAATGCTAGCTAATTACTCCAAGGCTGGGTTTTCTCATTCTGGGCAAATGACTGTCTCCAGGGTGGAGATTAAAGCAGGCTAACGTGCACACTGTCTGTCTCTGTCAGGGCTAAGGTGTGTGAAGGTAAACCAAAGCTTCTTTAACATATTAGGAAGAGGGAAGAGATTCACAGAACATGAAACAAGCCCATTTCGCCCCGTGTTGATTTGCTGATGACAGTCTAGGTTTGATGACTGTAGATGTAACCGCCCCAGATCAAGTTCAGAAAATTATACTGTTTCAGAAAAATGAAATCTTAGAGCCCAAGTAAGATGATTTTCATCTTGTTTTGAGAGAGCATGCAAAAGCAAGCAAGAGCATAAAAAGGGGGAGAGAGTGAGATCTTCCGCTGGTTCATTCCCCAAATGGCCACAAGAGCTAGGTCTAGGCCAGTCTGAATCCAGGAACTCCATGTGGCTCTCCTAAGTTGATGGCAAGCACGCAGACACTCAGGCCATCTTTCACTGCCTTCCCAAGTGCGTTGACAGGGAGCTGGGTGGCACTCCAAAGTAGGGTATTGATGTTGCAAGCATCAGCTTAACCTGCTGCCCTATAATATGCCCCCTCCCATTTCCTTCATGCTGTCAAAATATCAAATATCTAAGGTGTGCTCTTATACCTATTGGGTGAAATTCCTCACTATATCATAAGAATTATCATTGCCTATGCGATACTTCTGATTTGTAATCTCAATTCTCGGATTGATGC